AAACAGTGGTTTTAAAATATTGCAAATCTGTAGGAAAGTTAATTTAATTTAACATTAAATTTAATTTAACATTTCATTGAAAATGTTAAGTGGAAACAATACACAGCGTAAAATAAGTAAAAGGGTTTTCAGTCATATAACTCATTGTTTAAAACTAAAACGTATAAGATTTCTTTAAAATTCAATCAACAATCACAGAATTTATTAATATTAATAGGAACATTTGACATCTTAGATTAATATGATCATCTGAAACCCAAGATTATGGCTGACATTCAGTACTGACATTCTGTTTTGTTTTGTGTTCTGTATTAACTTTAGCAAACTCTGATATTCAGAGAAATCACAAAGGATTTCTTACAAATTAAATTGTACTTTAAGAATTTACCTTGCAATCTCATAACACTCCTATTAAACAAAGGGGGCAGGAGAAGATTTATTCTTTGAAGCATTGTTTCTATTATGAGTGCCATATGATAAAATATATCTCTTTAAATGTAGATTCAAATTGAGCATTTGCAAAATCCCTGAAGTAGATCTCATACAATAAAGTATATAGACCAATGAATAATTGGAGTGTCCCTTCCAGGTTCATGAATTTGAAGATTCACATATGCAGCTCTCCCAGTCCCACTGGAATTATTTATGAGATTTCTGGGTTGATGTGACTGCCTGTGGCCATTTATTTGGAGAAGTTAACTGGATCTCATTCTTTTTCTTTTCTTTTCTGTTTTGAAGTCACAGGTGGAAGAGGAGAAAGGGAGGAAAATAACCAACACTTGATAGAAATAATCCCTCAACAAAAATATATTCTCCAGTAGACATTAAGGATTCGTCTAAACTCAGGAACCCCAGAAATCTGATGATAAAGGAGAGAAGAGAGTCTTTAGAGACAACAGGAGCTTTGAAAAGATTCATCCTCAGGCTCCCCACAAACTCTTCACCCTGGAGGTGCTAACAAACATTACTAGATGGGTATGTGTCTCTCATGTACAGTACCCACTCCTTATTCATAGGGGATAAAAATCTCCGTTGGATACCTGAAATCTCAGACAGTATTGAGCCCTTTATATACTATATTTTTCCTATACATACATACCCATGGTAAAGTTTAATTTATGAATTAGGCGTAGTAAAAGTTTAACAATAATAACTAATAATAAGAATAATTATAGCAATATACTACAATGAAAGCTATGTGAACATGATCTTTCTTTCAAGGCATTTCATTGTACTATAGCTCTTAGCAACCGTAGCATGCAACTTTTTTTTCCCTTAAATCAGGAATGTTTTACCTTTTCACATAAGCGAAACATTTTATGACTTCTCTTTGGCATATCCAAATTTCCAGCATCACTGCTCTTGCACTTTGGGGCAATTATTAAGTAAAACAAGTCTTTCTTGAACACAAGCGCTGTGATACCATAACAGTCGATCTGATCACCGAGGTGCTACTAATGAGTAGAGGGCAGTGCGTGCAGTGTGAACGTTTGGACAGTTGGACAATTCACATCCCGTGAAGGGCAGTGTGAGATTTCATCATGCTACTAAAAACAATGTGCAACTTAAATCTTATGAATTGTTTATTTCTTGAATTACCCATTTAATATTTTTAGACTGCAGTTGACTAGTGGTAACCGAAACCTTGGATAAAGGAGAAATAACTCCTTACTGCATAACTATGAGGAATCCTCTGCTAAGGTACTAGAGTGGGGATCTCAGCCGGTGAGGCCTTTTCAAATTTTACAGTCACTTGCTAGCTATTTGGGGTTATGAACAAGGTAACCGTATGTGTTGTCATCCAAACTAGAGCACCGTGGGAGTGAAAGGTAGCACAATCAACAATTAGCCTGGGACAAAAGTTGTAAACTGCTCTTACTGAGCAAACTGGAATGAATGGTCATCCTAGTTAGGAACCTTCCCTTTCCCTAACAGAAGATACTTCTAAAACATGGGCACTTTACAAACATGTGCCATTAATCTAGTAAAATATCATGTTTTCAATGAATCTCTGCTATGTTAACTTTAATTTACCAACTTTGAAAACTAAGCTTTTAGGTTATTCTAAAATATAAAATGGTCAGTCAGCCTAAGAAACATCTGACGTGTTTAGAGAAAAACAAAATCACTTTCTCAGGTCAGGGTGTTGACAATATACAAAAGAATGGAAAATACATATAAGGACTGTAACTGTTTATAAAGTGTGAATTTGACATGATACAACTTATTTTTAACTACATCACTATATAAAAATTAGGCATTATGTTCTTGGAAATATACTGTAGTTCTAGATAAATAATTTTCTGCTTTTATTTTTTCGTTCCATTTGCTCATTTTTGTTAAATAATTTTTCTGTTTATATGATTCTATTTTCTATTTTTTGGTACACCAAGATCACATCTTTTATCTTTTCTTCCTTTGTTTAGTTCTATTCATAGCACCTTTTTAGCTCATTCTTCATATGGTGCATTCTCAACACTGTGTTAACTAAAACCTTTTAAAAACTCACTTTCAAATTTACAAACACTTACCTGATCGAAAGCATGTTTTTCACTCCCATAATCATCAGATCATTATCAAAAGTCCTGGCATTCCTCTTTGATACAATTGAGCATTTGGGGGCTGGGATAGCTTCCAAATCCACAAGTCATAAATTTCTGACTTCATATCTAGATATTCTTAACTGATCTACTTTTACACTATGAGTCCCATAACTGCAGATTGTTAGTAATATGGAAAAATCCAAAACTAAAAAAAAAAAAACCCATTTTTATAATTCAACATATTCACAGAAGAAGGTTCATTATAAACGATACATGATCTGAATTAAACCTGTAGGATTTACAAAGGTATATGTCTAACAATAATATTGAACAATCTGCAATTTATTTTAACATTCACCCACTCGAATTCAGGAGCTGAGTATGAATTCAGGAGCTAAGAATAACATTAGCTGGGGGAAAAAGATGAACAGGTTTGGTCTACCTTTCTGTTTTCCCATGATTTTAAAGGAACACTTACCTCCTCCAAAAGGTCCCCATATGACTCGGCGGATGGACTTCACCCAGTCTTCCATATCATTCTGGGTGCTTGCCATGAGGAGGTAGCTCTCATGATTTGCTGTCATCCGATCTCGATCACCTCCTGTGAAAACACAGTAACATATGCAGCTGAAGTTGCATCCAGAGATTCCTCATCATCAGCCTCCAGAGGAACCCCTGACACAGACACTGTGCCTAATACAGCCCATACTAGGTTCTGCCCAAGGAATTAAAATATTTACCATGGTTTCTGAGTGGGAAGAAAAAAATTTAAAAAAGAGAGGCTCTCATATTTTCAGGAGTAAGCTGGAGAACAAATGTCATTTTCTAAACAAAGCCTGGGTTTTTTGTCCTAGCAACAACCCATAGGCCTGTATCAATTTGTGATCCAATCTATTCACTCGAAGCTGCTGAATACGGAGAAATAGCAAAAACAAAATGAAAGACAGAAAAGGTGGAAAAGTGGTCCACAGAACTTGGCCTTTCATTTCAAGCAAGCATGGAGCAGCCTGAGCACTGCATAGTGCACACACACGGAGGCCACCAGGACATTGTGATTGGATGTCGGAGTTACAGGAAAGAGTAAAGAGTCATATGCAATGCCTTTAACCCACAGGTTCTGCTCTATGCCACTGTTCTGGAAGAGAAACCTCATCCTCCCAAATCACAACTTCAGGAGGGCAAACAAAGAGGAGGCAGGGAAGAAGACATGCCTGGCCAACCACAAAGGCCAGATCAACACCCCTGCTGGCTCTCGCACCTGCAGGTGAGCTTTAGGAAACCCTGGCAGTGCCTCTGTGCAAAACCTTGATGGTTCCTTCAGTATTTTTTCCCAAAGAACAACTCATGCACTTTAAAACCTTTATAATCTCTAATATCAACTTTGAAGTGCTAGACTTCCAAAGCATGTAATTTAATTTCTTAGAAGTGTTTTATAGGGCATTTAAGATTCCCCAGTGATTTAATTTTCCCACTTACAAAACAGGGATAATGATATTTGACCTTGAAACAGGTCTTGAGGCACGGTTTCGTTATACCTTTTATGTTTAAAGGAGTATTTCTGAAGACAAGTATTGGAGCCTGCACTCCTTCACCATCTTTGAACACAGTGTTGCTCACAGAAGGAATGATTAAAGAAATAGAATAGTATTTAACTGGATTCTGATAATACGTTAATAGTATACCAACTTCTAAGATACTCAAATATCTATCAACATTTAATTTTCATGCAGTGTTGTATACTTGATGCCTTGGGTTGAATTAATTCGTATCTGAGTATTTTGTGTGGTTAAGATGTTGTTCGTTTGTTTGTAAGTGGATCTAAATACTTTCATAAGGAGTTTGCAGGCTCCCATTTACAAAGGCACCACACTCTATTATTTCACACTCAATCTGGTTCACACATAGTTCTGAAAGTTACAGGCATTAGAGTTTGTGACCTCTAAATTCTAAATGAATGCTCTGGGTTGAGAAGGACAACTATTCTAGCATAATGTAAATTTTTTTATTCAGGTGAAAAATCAGAGAAGTTCATCTTGAAGTCAACCAGTTGAACAACCCGTATTGGTGTATTACATTTTAATACAACTAAATAAGAACAGAGGAAGGGCTCAAAAACTGTATCAAATAGCTTTCCTAATGTTGACAAATCTTTTGAATGAACAAAACTAGCCTCCTCATATTACAGTGAACATTTCATTACTAGGGAAACAGTGATTCTTTTACACATCTAGCTCCACTCTAGGTCGATCATCACTGTAAACCAGTGGTCCCCAACCTTTTTGGCACCCGGGACCCAGTTTTGTGGAAGACAATTTTTCCACAAATGGGGTGGTGGTAGTGATAGTTTCATAATGAAACTGTTCCACCTTAGATCATCAGGTGTTAGGTTCTCATAAGGAACAAGTAATCTAGATCCCTCTCAGGTGCTTCTATGAGAATCTAGTGCTGCCACTGATTTGACAGGAAGGGGAGCTTAGGCAGTAATGCTCACTTGCCTTTTGCTTACCTCCTGCTGTGTGACCCAGGGGTTGGGGATCCCTGCTTTAAACAACTTGTATATGAAAAAGCATCGATTCAGGAGTCAAAGAAAACCCAGCTCGAATCACAGTTTTATCTTATATTAGCTATTTGACTTCCAGGGAATTATTTAACTTCTGGAAACTCAGTAATCCTTTTTTGTTTTGTTTTGTTTTTTAAAGAAACTTTAATTTTAAGTTCCAGGATATATGTGCAGATTTGTTACATAAACTTGTGTCATGGGAATTTGTTGTAATGATTATTTCATTGCCCAGTTAGTAAGCCTAGTATCCATTATTTTTCCTGATTTTCTCCCTCCTTTCACTCTCCACCCTCCAATAGGCCCCAGTGTGTGTTGTTTCCCTCTATGTGCCCATGTGTTCTCATTATTTAGCTCCCACTTTAAGTGAGATCATGGAGTATTTGGTTTTCTGTTCCTGCATTAGTTTGCTAAGGATAATGGCCTTCGGCTCCTTTCATGTCCCTGCAAACACAGAATCTTGTTCTTTACTTTTTATGGCTACATAGTGTTCCATGGTGTACATGTAACATATTTTCTATATCCAATCTGTCATTTGATGGGCATTTGGGTTAATTCCATGTCTTTGCTATTGTGAATAATGTTGAAATGAACATATGTGTGCATGTGTCTTTATCTCAGAATGATGTATATTCCTTTGGGTATATACCCAATAATGGAATTGCTCCATCAGAGAGTATTTCTGTCTTTAGATCTTTGAGGAATCAACACACTGTCTTCCACATGGTTGAACTAATTTATATTCCCACCAACAATTTATAAGTGTTCCTGTTGCTCCACAACCTTGCCAGCGTTGGTTATTATTTTCTTTCGACTTTTTAATAATAGCCATTCTGACTGGTGTGAGGTGGTATCTTATTGTGGTGTTGATTTGCATTTCTCTAACGATCAGTGATGTGCTTTTTTTCATATGATTATTTGCCACATGTATGTCTTCTTTTGAAAAGTGTCTGTTCATGCCCTTTGTCCACTTTTTAATGGAGTTGTTTTTCTCTTGTGAATTTAAGTTCCTCATAGATGCAGGATATTAGAGCTTTATCAGATGGGTAGATTGCAAAAATTTTCTCTCCCAATCTGTAGGCTGTCTGTTCACTCTGTTGGTAGTTTCTTTTGCTGTGCAGAAGTTCTCTGGTTTAATTAGATTCCATTTGTCAATATTTGCTTTTCTTGCAATTGCTTTCGGTATTTTCATCATGAAATCTTTGCCTGTGCCTATGTCGTGAATGGTATTGCCTAGTTTATCTTCCAGGGTTTTTATAGTTTTGAGATTTACATTTAAGTCTTTACCATCTTGAGTTGATTTTTGTGTATGGCATAAGGAAGGAGTCTGAAACTCAGTCATCTTAATCATGCTTTAGAAATAATTGTACATACTTGGCCAACTTTTGTGAGAATTCAACAAAATAAAGAATACAAAAATACTAGCACTAAAGTAGAAATGTTGTAAATATTAAATTTATGTCATTTAATTGTCTCTCATGCTTACCTAAGCAAAAAGTACATATTACATTACATCGATCCCAGAGATATTACATCTAATAAGTGTTTGAGAACAATTAGTCAGTAGCAACAACGATATTCTAAAAGTGTTACCTTTCTTTGATACATATATGCATACTAACGTACATTAAAATTACATACTGCACATGTAAATATACCATACCTAAATATGCATATACATGGCTGTATGACATAGAAGTGGCAGAAGTAACTAAATGGCAAAATAAAAACATGCTTCATTTGGCATGGTGCAGTTCTAAAAATTAATTTTGTATTCTGATCCACTTATGCCACAGTATCGAGTGCAAAATATTATCATTTTGAAATCAGAATATTGTAATTATTGTCTTTGCCTGAAGGATGTTTAGCAATTCAGAGAGCAATAGCCTGCTGTGTCACTCCAGGCCTAGTAATTAGAGTGAGTGGCAGCCGCTACAGTGTGTTTCTGCCTGAAAGCAGAGGAAAAAGAATGGCACACACAACTGGCCATTATCCCTTGACTTTTCATTTGATGCTTTATCTCTGCCAACGGTGCTACATGTCTGACCTTAATCTCATTTAGACTGCCAATCACAGATACAAAATCCCATCTGTGAATTTCATCTCTGAATCTAGATCTTCATTTCTCATTTTAATAGCAAGGTGTGGGGTATGATTTAGAAAAACTTTTTACGTAATTCTTTGTGGAAATACAGACTCATTACTAAAGATGTGACTGAAACAATTATATGTATTTCTAAAGATATGAACTAAATACTCCGTACTAAAAATAGGTGACTTCTAACTGAAAGAGCCATCTGTTCTAATGCATAAACCCTCGGTTCTAAGAGCATGGGGCTGTGTCTTGCAATTGAAGGAGCTTAAAAATAACTTACCAAATATATGATTTGATAAATGAATAAATTTAATCATGTGGATCAAGATTCGCTCTCTTCCTTAGCCCTTTCAAAAGGTGAAATTCTTTCAAGAGGTGAAATTTTCATAAGCAATGTTGAGATATAATTATCACTGGAATAGTGAGAGTTTCCCAGTCTTCATACATAATATGTGTATGTATTATATCACATTGTATTAATGTTATATGAACCAGTATACATTCTACTTTCTTCATTTCTGCATGAACATAAATATCTATGCAGTTGTAATGTTTTAAATAATATTACTTTAAATGATACTAGATTGGCTCACATTTTAAAGAACATTTGTCAGAAAGTAGTACACAATTTTTAGATGTTACCTCTTTTTGGTAGCAATGCTTTAGTGCTACTGTTAACACATCAAGCATTTATGATTTCGTTAACTAAGTTGGCCACATCATTCAATTTTACTTGTTTATATCTAATTGAAAGTATTTGTACATTTTGTTGAGATAGTCTATATATTTTCATTTGACATAAATTTTTCTTTCTTAAAAATAAAATAGATTCTCTTAAATAATTGCTTAACATGGTCAACTTTTACAAAAATTAAAAGTTGGATTTAAAAAAGCTTAATGGGCTGGGTGTGGTGGCTCATGCCTATAATCCCAGCACTTTGGGAGGGTG